GGAGTATATTGTTATAAGGTGATGCCTTTCGGGCTCAAGAACGCCGGGGCGACTTACGCTAGGATGGTGAGCAAGCTCTTTGCACCCGTCCTCGGGAAGAGCATGGAAGCGTACGTCGACGACATGATTGTGAAGAGCAAGCAGGCGACCACCCATGCGGAAGACTTAGAAGGAGTTTTCAAGATTATGGAGAAGTATAACCTTCGGTTGAACCCGAAGAAGTGCACGTTTGGAGTTCAGGGTGGCAAATTCTTGGGATATATGGTGAGCAGGCGCGGTATTGAGCCCAACCCCGAGAAGGTGCGCGCCATCCTTGACATGGAAGCTCCACGAAATGTCAAGGAGGTGCAGCGCTTGACCGGAAAGTTGGTTGCGCTCAGCCGCTTCCTTTCCAAGGTGGCGGACCGAGCCGCTCCGTTCTTCCAAGCGGTAAAGAAGTCCCGAGGGTTCGTGTGGACGGAAGAATGCCAACAATCCTTTTAATCCCTCAAGTCCTACCTCCTCTCTCCTCCGGTTCTCGCGAAGCCCGAAGCGGGGGAGACGTTGTACTTATACTTGGGAGTTTCACCAAAAGCTTTGAGCTCGGTCCTAGTCCAAGACGAAGGTGGAGCTCAACACCCGGTGTATTATACGGCGAAGACGCTGAGGGGTGCCGAGCTCAGATACTCAATAGCCGAAAAGACGGTCCTTGCTGTGGTTTCAACCGTGCAGCGTCTAACACCCTACTTCCAAGCTCACCCGGTTCAAGTGCTCTCCCAACAGCCCATTGGTGCGCTGCTCAGTAACCCGAACGCGCCCTCGCGCATGTCCAAGTGGGCGGTGTTCCTTGGAGCTTTCCAGATCGAATTCAAGCCAAGGCCGGTGATCAAGGGCCAAGCGCTAGCTGACTTCATGGTAGAGTGCACCGCTTGGGAGGAGCCGAGCCCGGAAGAGCCGGAAGCCAATGACTGGTGGATAGTTTTTACCGACGGCTCCTCCGCCGCCAAAAACTCGGGGGGCGGAGTGGTAGTCATCGCTCCCGAAGGCTTCAGAGCATAGTACTCAATTCGATTCGGTTTCAAGGCATCAAACAATGAAGTGGAATATGAAGCGCTCCTATCGAAGCTGAGCTCGGACACGCCCGAGCATATCAGGCGAATGGCGAACGTGGAAGAGTTGTCCGAGCCGAGCATCCATGCCTCCACTGTGGCAATGATCTGTCGCTTGTCAAAGAGATTGGATGGACGATATAGTCGCCTTCCGCCCTCCCGGATGATGAAAAAAAGGCCAAGCTGGTCCGGACTAGGGCACCCGGATACACTTTGGAGGGCGGAAACTATACAAGCGAGCATACATCTTTTCGGTTGAACTCAATGGAATGAAGTTTTTGCGAAAAGAGCTCGCTTGAACACTCGTGCTCGGCGCTCCTACTCAGGAGGAGGGTCAAGCGCAGACCATACCCGGATGTTCTTCCCGGATGAAGGTCAATCACTTGTGCTCAGTGCTCCTCCTCAGGAGGAAGGCCGAGCGCAGACCATACCCGGATGTTCTTCCCGGACGAAGGTCAAACACTCGTGCTCGGCGCTCCTCTTCAAGAGTAAGGCCGAGCGCAGACCATACTCGGATGTTCTTCCCGGATGAAGGTCAGACACTCGCGTTTGGCACTCCTCCTCGGGAGGAAGGCCGAGCGCAGACCATACCCGGATGTTCTTCCCGGACGAAGGTCAGACACTCGCGCTCGGCGCTCCTCCTCGGGGAGGGAAGCCGAGCGCAGACCATACCCGGATGTTCTTCCTGGATGGAGGTCAAACACTCGCACTCGGCGCTCCTCCTCGGGGAGGGAAGTCGAGCGCAGGCCATACCCGGATGTTCTTCCCGGATGGAGGTCAAACACGCACGCTAAAAATAATAACTAAAAAAAACGAGACATAAAATCAAATTCATATCTTATTCATCCCTGAAAAAGGGGATAGTACACGGCGCAAACGCCTTAGAATGGACCGGTGGGCAAAGGCACCAAGGCCAAGGTTTGGGCAGAGCTCCACGAGGATAAAGTAAGCCCGCGCTCGCCCTCGGTTGGGCACCGAGACGAGTCGAGCACGTCTTTGGTAAAGCGAGCCCAAGCGTAAGCACGGCCCCGCACAAGCGAGCGTAGGCCATACCCGGATGTTCTTCCCGGATGAAGGTCAATACTTGCGCTCGGCTCTGCCCTCCTCATAATAATGGACGAGCGTATGCCATACCCGGATGTTCTTCCCGGATGAAGGTCAAACACTCGCGCTCGGCTCCGTCCTCCTCAAGAGGATGGACGAGCGTAGGCCATACCCGGATGTTCTTCCCGGAGGAAGGTCAACACTCGCGCTTGGCTCCGTCCTCCTCAAGAGAATGGACGAGCGTAGGCCATACCCGGATGTTCTTCCCGGATGAAGGTCAACACTCGCGCTCGACTCTGTCCTCCTCAAGAGGATGGACGAGCATAGGCCATACCCGGATGTTCTTCCCGGATGAAGGTCAACACTCGCGCTCAGCTCTGTCTTCCTCAAGAGGATGGACGAGCGTAGGCCATACCCGGATGTTCTTCCCAGATGAAGGTCAACACTCGCACTCGGCTTCGTCCTCCTCAAGAGGATGGACGAGCATAGACATACCCGGATGTTTTTCTTGGGTGAAGGTCAATGCTCGCGCTCGGCTCTGGCCTCCTCAAAAGGATGGACGAGCGTAGGCCATACCTGGATTTTCTTCCCGGATGAAGGTCAACACTCGCGCTCGGCTCTGTCCTCCTCAAGAGGAAAAGGGGAAATACATGGCGCACACGCCTTACAAGAGTTAAAACATAGAAACGCATAATCTTAGTACCGCTTGCCGCAATTCCACTAGTAGTTGCATGGGCACGGCGGAGGGTAGGAAGAAGGTGAAGCAGCTCCAGCGATGAAGGAATGGCCGGTGGACTCGCCGATGCTAGACGAGCCTGGGTCTTTGTTGGGTTGATGGCTTGGATGATGGGCCGCCACCTTGCTTGGGAAGGCGAAACGTCACCACTTGTCCACCGATCAACACGCGGGCCCATGCGCCACCCCATCCACAGTGTTTCTACTCTCGCGCGTTCCATTGCCAGCTGCCAAGGAACCCGGAGAGTGGGGGGCTTCTGATGGGGAATAACCCCACACCAGCCTAGGGGTGACATCAGCATAAATTTAATAAGTGTCGGGCTTGGATGTTCCTGCCCGGCCCAGAGCTCCGCTCGTCCTTCCTGCCCGGCTCTACGCTCTGCTCGTCCGTCCTGCTCGGCTCGGCCATCCAAGCCGAGCCCGAACCCCGCGACAACGACGTGCGGAAAGCGACGTTCAACGAAGACTTGGTGAAAGCGATAGGATGAAAGGGACAAGACGTAAGGACAGGTGACGTCCGCTAGACGACGGGCATCGATTAGAGAGCTTTGACTTAGCTTATTTTACCCCCTATAAAAGGGGTGTCACCCCTCATTGTAATGGATCCGAATTTGAATCAATATACTCCTACTTTGCATTCTCTCTCTCTCTCTAAAACTTATATTATTTCATACTCTTGGTGGTTTATAGCCATCAACATTTTTTTTATTCTTTCATCTCTTCACTGAATACGAAAATTCGACTTGAGTCTATGCTCGATATAATTTCAGTACTAACAATTGTTATCAAATGAGAATTTAACACAGTCAATATTTACCAAGTAAATTCTTATACCTTTCCTGGAGCAGAGGGATGCGAGAGTCGTGGATGTGATTGACATTTTATTTTATTATTATTATTTTTTAAA